TGTTTTAGTGCAGGGCTTGTCAGCTTCTGTCCAAGAAATCTCTTTGTAAGAAGCTGATTCTATACCTAACTTCATGAAGTGTTAGGTGTTTGATTGTGAAATTTTTCTCTTGGAGGCAACACAAAGCACAAGGTGCAAAGATTGACATCAAAAAAAGGTGACTTCTGTTGGGACTTGTTTAGCCACGGTGGCTAAAAGCTGTGAAGACTGACTGACTATAGGAGGAGTTGGAAGTTTGAACTACAGAAGGGAGGAAAGAGAGTGACTTGGAATTAGAAAGCTGAGGCTATGTTTTGTGTCAGAGATGCTGAGAACTTGCAGGGAGGGCTAGGTGGAAACCAATAGGCAAAGAAGCTAGGCATGGAAGTGGTAGGAATGAGAAATGAGTAACGAGTATCGGTCTGACAAGCTTGAGAACTAGTGAGGGGCTGGGGTAGACTGAAACTATTTGAACAGGAGAGACAATGGTGCAGAAATTACTGTGGTGACAAAAGGCTGTTTTGAAAGTCTCTAAAAAATAAAAAGGGTATAGGCTGTGGAGGAAGTGGAGAGATTGTCAGAGAAAGACAGTATTTGTGAAAAGCTGGAAGGAGGAAACCGGGTTTGGCTCAGCAACAAGAGAAGGGCGAAGATGGTTTGAATGGAAGCTATGATTGTGTGAATAATTGATGTAAGAAGAAAAACACCAAACACTGGAAACAAGGATATAGAGGTGTGTATGTAGAAAGACGTAAATTAGGAAATAGCAATGTGTGGTATGAGATGCCTCTTGAAGGAAAACAAGTAGATGATTTTATCCATGAGGACAAACTCTTCTTCACTTTTGTAATAGAAATCTGGATCTTGTCATTGTTCTGCTGTCAGTATATTTCTGTAAAAACATGGTAGTAAATTGCATGATGTAACTAAAGCTGTTCCTCTCCATGTTCGGATACTAACAATGTTTGTCTGTACTCTGAATTGCAGTAAATAAGGCTTAAAAGTATGTGCATAGAGCTGAAGTACTGTCTAGCTTGCTGAGTGAATAAGGGCTGTTCTTTGAGCTAGAAGGGCAAAGAGCTTTAGGAAGTGCAACTGGACTTAACAATGATATATTGATATATGTACCAGGGAGCTGAATTAGGGCTTCATAGTCATCTATTTCAATTGGAGAAATCATGACATAATATTGACAGGCATACAAACGTACTACCATTACTTCCTTGCCAGACAGAATTATAGTAACAATTTGAATCGGGTAGACTTGAGATTTAAGAAGACAAGATTTATAGTTTAAGAGAGGATTTGTAATAGTTTAGCACTCCTGTTAAGTGGTGCTTTTGATTATACTCAGCTGTGATGTTGAGTTGTTGCAAACTTAAAATGTGCTCTAAACGAGATGCTGCGATCTTTAAACCTATATAGTCAATAAACAATTTCTGTTAAGTCATTAGCGCTGTCAAAAACTGAGTCATAATTTTAAATTTAACAAAGTTCTTTTGCAGTAACTTGGCCTCTTCCAAAATTTTCCTCTGCTATTAAGCATGTCCTTTTCCTAGTTTCTGAATTAATCATTCCAATGTCTCATACTAGTGCTGAATTTCAAAATAATATTTTTTTTAATTCTGAAAACTGTCTGTTCCTGATTAATATCAGGGCTTAGGGATGTTGCCTTATGAATATATTTATATATACACATGCACATTTACAAAATAGTATGGTTTTATAGAGAGGATTTGAGTCCATTATCATTAATACTTCTGCTTTTTTATTGAATGCCTGAATTGGAGAGGCCAGATTTTTTTAAATTTACATATACAACCTTTTGGTCTCCAAGAAACTTGCTAGCCCATGACTGTCCAAAAAAATAACTGCTACTATGTGAAATTTTTTGCAGTTTGTTTGGTTATACTGAATTTCTGATCTCCAAAGGGCTCCTGACTCTTTCCATCTTGCAGCTTTTGCCGGCCAGGTGAGGGTGCTTAGTCACTTTCACAAATCTCTAAGCTTTGTTAGGAGAACCCCAAATAAATCTGGGCACAGATGCTAGTGAATTAGAGATATTAAACTACCTTTATTCAGTCTCTTAAAATACTGCTTATAGTTTTGCTTTTTTGTGTGTTTTGTGTGTGTTAATCTGTAGAGCCTCTGCTGAATATACATGTTCTAAATAAGAATATTCACCTGATTGTCTTATTTTTAGTTTTGAAAATGTTTCATAAGGCAGATGTCTAATTTGGCAGATCTTTGCAAGCCTTTAATCTTTTCATCTTAAAAAAAAACAAAAACAACAAACCAAGAAAGAAAGCAGACTAGATTAAACAAATTGGATTTTATTTATAAAAATAAAACAGGACACTTAATCAAAACAATTTTAAAGGGCATGTTTGTTATCAAAACAGTATATGATTTAGCTGTCTTAATGGAAATAACTTTCTGCACACCTAGTACATTTGCATGTATTTAACTAACTGGCTGGTTTACAGCAGTGTACTTCTAAAATGCAGAATATTTTTTGTTTGCTACAGTTCATTCCACTAATTTAGTTAATGAGTAACTGACATTTCATGTAATTTTGTAGCTACAGTGAATTTTTTTTTTTAGGAGAAAAGCTGCCTATTTTTTGGTTTTATACCTTTGGTAAATAAATGCTATAAATGTAATTCAGAAATAATTTTGGATAAAACAATACTTTTCTTAGCCCTGTGATTCAAGTAATATATGGAGCATTAGAGTGCTAGTGCCAGCACACAGAGTACTCCAGGTATCTGTAAAAAGCTTTTCAATTAAGATATGGGTGCTGACATATAATAAAGCCAATTTTATCTTCTTAAGTTTGCTGTTCATAACTTCTTGTTTAAGGTGGTAAACAGCACCTTATTTCTTCTTTCTCTAATCTAACGTGTTAAGCTGTGACCACAGGTCCTCCCCTGCAGTTGCATACTTTTGCCCCAGCAGTCTTTTGATTAATGCTTATATCGCACAGTGCTCAGTCACATTCCAGCCATTTCATAGCCTAATGGAAAAAAGGCTGCAACACTTCTTGTAAAAGAAGACTTTAAAAAAAAAAGTAGTCGATTGCTAATTGATCTGCGATTAAAAAATGGACTTGTTCTGCAAAAGAATCCTGACCTTTTTCTGTGAGTAAATGCAGATGTTAGTCTTTTACTGAACATTTTTCCTCAAGACAACCCTTTCAACAGGAAATGTAGAGATGGAGTTTTTTGTTATCTGGCGGATTTTTTTTAAAAAAAAGACCAAAACCAAACCAAAAAAACCTGCACTGAATTCTAATCTGTGATTTAGAATTCAGAAACAGGAACCTAGAGAGAGTTAGGCATGCATAAAGCTGGATTTGTGTGTGGGTTTGTGTATGGGGGGTTTTTTATTAAACGATTGGCTAGGAAATTGATTGCTAGCTTTTGGGGAATATTTCATTTCACTTATTTCAAGCATTATTTCTCTTCTAGAATTGTGATGAGGGGGATATTTGTTTGCTGTTTCATGGTGGGGATGAAATAATTTGATATGGGGTATTTGCATCCAGCACAGATGAAGATTCTGTGTAGAAGGGAATTATATGGGGAGGCGAGTACTCTGGTACTTTGTAGGAAAGGGCAACACAGAAGGAACTAGGAAAATGCTGAAGAAAGAGTATAGAGGCATCTAGGAACCAGAATGTCTTTATTTAGAATAAGATGTCTGTCTTTCTATATGTATTTATATCTTATATGGAATATGTATTAGAAAGAATTCTGTGTGTATGTGTGTGTGTATGTATTTGGAATCTCATATATAAGGAGGGACAGACAATTTGGAAATAATAGAATAGAATAAAATAACGTATGCTTAGGAAGACTAGGAAGTGAGGTTCTTCTCTAGTGCCTCACTTTTTTTTGAATCCGGTAACAGCAACAGATAGCAGAATTTTGGGTTGATGCATTTTTATTTTTTTTTTTAATTTTATTTTTTTTACTGAGCAGGTATCAGTAGGAACTGTAACATCTGACTGGTTTGAATGCTTGAAAATAGTGCACTTCCTCAGACTTGGGAGAGTCAGTTGCTGAGATGCTTTGGTAGCCTGCATACTCCACTAGATAAGAATTTTGCCAGCCGACTGTCCTTTTAGTAAATATTCTTGCTTGTAGAGTGTTCTTCAGCCTTCACTCCAAATGGCATTTCGCCTTGTGTGACAGGTGGTATATTGTGTATACAGTGCCCTGGTGAAACATTGGCCAGCTTAATTAGTGTTGGGAGCTGTACTGGATTTCTCCTGTGGAACATCCTGCACAGCCAGTATCTGAGCTTTCTCTGCAGCTTTTGTGCTACTGCCCTTTGTTTCCTTGGTGGTTCCAGGAAGCCCTTGACTTTGGTGGGTAGGATTTTTTTAGCATGTGTGGAGTGGCTTTGGAGGTTTGTTTTTTGTTTTTTTTTTTTTATTGTCCTGCAGACAATAAAGTACAAGAGTAGTAGCTCTGGATTTTTTATTTCCTTTTGTTATACAGAAGACTGACTTGCAAACTCGAAATAGAAAAATTATGTGTAGGTATGCTTTGTCTGAAATTAAAACCATTAAACTTGTTTGAAATGCATATCTTATTAGGCTTTGTGGTTTTCCTGTGCCCATTTATCAATCATTTTAATCTTGTGCTCAACAAGTTTGAGTCTAGCATTGTGTTCAGTGTACTGGTGAATTTGAGGTTAAAAACAGGTAAAGGAAACTTCTTGACAGAATATATCCATATTAGTGATCAGCATCTACTGTGATTTTTTCATGTAAAAAATGCAACTTAGCTGATGTCTTGATAGCATTCCTATTCCAGTGTTATTTAATTTGCTCATAATGAATAAATGAAGGTTGCTAAAAGTTAAAAATAATTGTCAAAGCTGATATTTTGGTACCAGTAAGGGAGATTGACCTCAGTATCAACTGAAAGTTTTTAAAATTTGAGTTTTCTTTGTTGTTCGGTTTTTTGTTGTTTGGGTTTTTTTTTTTAAATACCAGGATTCAAAATTCTAGCTTACTTGAATTTATTAAAATAAAAGGTAGGTGAGCAGCCTCTTGTGGCTGAACAGATATTTTTTTTTTTTTCAGATAATGTGTGAGAATGTAGACATTATATCAAACTCAAAACACCTACTGCTTTTTTGGTCTGTTTGAGGATTTCTTACCTGAGTTTATACATGTTACAGCTATGATTCCTGTTCCTGGCTCTAGGTAGCTTCTGAAGTATTTAATACTGAGAAGTGACATACTTTGCAGAAGTTTAGGTTGGTTTAAACGTAAATTTGTTGACAGTCTTTAAAAAGCACCTGTAAAGCATCTGGTTAGTACTTGAAGCTCAAGAATGTAATGTAGTACACGTATAGTATTCTGCAAACATGTAGAAACCAGTTATTAAAATATGTTAAAATATCTTATGGTCCAGGCAGAACTCATAGTCTCGTAGGTAATAGATGTGGACTTTCTTCTGGTGCAGATTTCAGAACTCTGACCATAGGCATTATTTTTCTCATCCTTACCTTTTATTTTAATGTGCTAAGACTGAGCATAATTTTATGTTTAGAAATTGAGTGTAGTTTACTTATTAAATATTCTTTCTATAAGTAAGCAATATTTACTTGGGAGTTAAATGTATCTGCCGTATGTGACACATATGCATGGAAAGATGTATCACAGTAACAGTGACTATTCAGTGCATCAAGATTAGTTTAGCAAAGGAGTTATTTTCATATCGCAAAATAGTCCCTCTTTCACATTTAGCTATACATGAGCTGCAAATATTGGATATTTTACGTATCAGTGATTTTTCCAGAGAAGTGCAGCTGCTGCAATAGGAATTTAAGCAGTGTATCATCTCTTTTTATTTCGCCTTTTACTGACTTGGGGTCCTTTTCTGTTTTGATACAGATAGGTTCTGGCAATAAAAGTCAGGGTGGATAATGGATGACTAATAAATTTGCATGTATCATTGCAGATTAAAAACAAAAATTTGGTTAAAATCTTAACAAGATTCACAATAAATGTTTATATTAACTCGTACCTTATTTGTATTTTGTTATTTCTTACCTAGAAGTGGAAGAACTGTTAACTTCTATTAAGCATATCCAACACGTTTTGGTAGACCCTCAGAGCCAAGAGGATATCTCTCTCATTTTACAGCTTGTTCAAAATACGGATTTTCAGAATGCATTTAAGATACACAATGCTGTTACAGTGCACATGAACAAAGCCAGCCCTCCGTATCCTCTCATCTCCAATGCACAAGAACTAGCACAAGAGGTATGTACAGTATGCATCTCTCTGATATATATGAAACCTGTAATCATAGCTGTTGTTGAAATACATACTTGTCAAGCTTGTCTGAGTTATTGAATGTTAAATATGAAAGGGATTATAATTGTCACTGATTGCTGTATCCGGTTTTTCCAGATTTCCAGACAGTGACCGGACAAATATTTTGGGGATAAGAACTCCCTTTTTAGCCTGGGTAGATATGTAACAGAAAAGGTACTATGTTTAAACATAGGAAAAGGGAGCAGTTATGAAAATCTAACACATTCATCTTCATATTCCAAGCATTCAGGAATTGAATCACAGTTCTCTGTTATTGTGACTTCCCTCTGAGTTGAGCCATGATTCTTAAGATTGGGAGGCATCTCTGAAATACAACTTGGAAGCAAGCATTCTGCTTTAAAGTGGGCAACAGATCCCTTAGTATTTAATTTCAATGCTTTAATTACGGCTGAGATGGTCAGATTACACTAAATTTTTGCCTGACAGACGACAGCTCTTCTACAAGATCTGATATGACTTTTAGAAATGTACTTGAGCAAGATCTTTAATCTTTTCAGTCAGATCTCAACTGTTTGAAATACTTCTACAGTTTCAGCCAGATTTTTTACTTTCTTTGAGGCTTATTCACTTGAATATAGATGGGCAATACCTCTGTAAAATAGCTTTGTCAGCATTAGAGTGATTTACAGAAACCTCATCAGATACTAAGTTGCTGTGAACAGAATGAGTTTTCCCATGCAGCTGGATAGAGCTAAGACCCTCAAAGGCGTTGCTCAATAACTTTATCTTCATTTTCCATGACCTCGTGCATGTATATATTGCAGTGAAGTGTGGCCACACCTTACATGGATACACATTTGTTAACTAGCTAGCTTGAATACCAGTATCAGTGCAAGCATAGCACTCCAGTGTTTAGCAAAGCCAGATCCGGAGGCTGGGTAAATGTTCCAGCATTTACACCCAGTGAACCAAACTTACCTGTTCAAAACTGCCTCAGATACCCCAGTTGGAGTACCTGAGCCATATAGCCGTTCTCCAGTTGCTCGAAGACATATCACTCCAATTTCAATATGACAGCAAGTTACGGTTTTTTGGTGGTTTTTAGTATCTGGTTTTCTTTCTGCCTGAAGCAATTTTTTTTCAACAGCTCTTTTCACTCTTCTTCCTTTTTCTAGACTTTAACCTTGTTAGTCAAGGAAAACAGCACTGTAGCAAGCTTGAAGTTCATTTGCAGAAGAAATTACTGATTCTTGAGGGACATGATTTAAATGTTATCTAAAGGTTCAGTGTGCTGATTAAACTGCTAAACTGCAGCTCAGGATTTTCCTGGTTTGTTTTGTCAGTAAGTGTGTGCCAAAGACAGGTGGGAGTATTTTACATGTGAGCTTCCCTCTGGCTTATTCATCAGCCTGTAGGCTGCTATAGGATCCTCACTAGGCTTCTTTGATGTCTGTGAGCCTGAAGGAACCTTTTCAGTTAACTTCTGTTTGTAAACTACTTCCCCAAACACCCACTTTACATAGTCCTAGTCTGGGATTTCATTTAGATACAAGCCAGAGTTTTTGAATCTTCATTTATAATATAGAATGTTACAGATTTATATCTTAAGAAAGCTGGTTTTTTCTGCTTCATGGATATGATGTCCTTTTATTTGCTGCTTAATAGAAGTTTTGAAGAAGAAAATACGCCTGGGAAAATTCTAGGTCTATTTTTAAACTTTCATATTCCTCCTATTGTTATACTATGTTCCCTGTTCCTCACCTTCCCAATACACTCCTGTCTCTTTTTCAGCTGATTTGGTAAATCCTAAAATCAGAAGGTGGTGCAAAGCCAATTTTGTGTCTGTTAGCAATCCATAAAGAAGTTAAGCATAAAAAAAATATTTCTTTCATCTAAACTTTTTAAACCAATGGAATTTTGTCATCACCCAGGAGACTATTACATAAAAGGCAAATGTATTCTTGCACTCATTTTAATTCTTCATCTTCCATCCCTGTCTTGTCCAGCCTTGAAATTCCTGAAAAGTCAATATATTGCATGTGTCTGTTCCCATTTTCAGATGTAATCTAGTTTCTCGGTGATTCAGCTTCTCTGTATTTAAGTGACTTGTCTTTTGCAATATGTTAAACAGCATCCTGAAATGATAGAGCCAGAAATTCAGGACAAATATTTCTATGACTGACAAAAGTGTTTCAAGAGGAACATCTTGAGGCCTTCATTCGCATCATGCTGTACTTCCTAGTCTTGCCTGAATAGAAGATCTTATGCTCATTTTTCAGCTCCTTTGTCCCTTTGGGAAAGGCTTCTGTATTTGTTATGGTAGCGATACAGGAAGAAATGATTTCTGCTTTAGGAAAAGTTAGGTTTGTTTGTTTTTTTTTTTTCTTACTCTGACAAAGTGTCTATCTTGCATGGCCAGGTTTTGTCTTGTACTGTGATTTTTTTTTTTTTTTTTTTTTGGTTGTCTTTTGCTTTTTCCATCCCTAAACATAGGCATGGGAAGCTCCCCAGAGGGCAGTACATTTAATTACTTCAGGGTGTTTTTGAAAAGACACTTGCAAAAGCCTGGGTTTAAGATACTGATAATATCTTGAAGATAAAAGCCATGAGACATTGCAAGAAAAAAAAATAGCAGATACATGCATAACAATTTTAAATGGCAAGTAATGCTAATGTGCATATTTTAGTGCACAGGTCATCAGTGACAGTGTATAACTGAAACTGTTCTGGAGTGCATGTCCTAACTTAAAGCTACAGACATGGGTTTATGGTGTGGAAGAGAAGCTGTTCTAGAGCTCATGTTTCTGTAGCTCTAACAGGAAAAGAGTTTGCAACACAATTTAATATTGAAACATGAAACATCCTCCCTTTAAAAACAAAAGTAAAAATTAAAATTAAATTAATTAAACTACACTTTTGGAAGTGTGTTTGGGGGGAATGATCATTTGGTACACAGAACTTAATTAAAAAAATTCATTTTCATTTGCTCTTTAATTGACTATTTGCTCTTATAAAACATAATGTGTATGATCAGTGTGTTGTGAAAACTTTTTTGATTTTATATTTTTTGGCCATTAACAGGACATGACAGCAGAATTGTACATTTTCATTTTCTAGTCTTCTTTAGGAAGTTCTTAAAATTAGTAGTACACATGTACAGTTAACTTTTCCCACTGATTCTGGTAAACTGGCACCAACAATTCAAGATTTTGCCCTTTTTTAAAAAAGAAACTTTAATTGAATTAAAAAGGTGGATTGAAGCACTTGAGCTTAAGGAGTTTATTTGAGAGTTAATCTCCATGTACTGTGCTGTACTCCAAGTCTTAAATAAAAATAGCTAGTAAACATCAAGTGTAATTAAATTGATTTTTAAATCCATTTAAACTTGACCGAGATGGGGGCAAGGATTATGGGAATATGGCCTGAATCTTGACCTTGTAAGAATAGTTGATGCAGCATTTGAGACAGTTTGTAATTTTTGGCCTGTAACAGCACATATCAAATACCTTAAAGATGTTCTTGGTATTAAATATGCCTAATAAGCTCAATTTATATAGGCTATGTTTCTAAAGGTTTTGGACTTACTACTGTTCACATCAGCAAGTGTAGGCAATTAAACTAGATTGGTACTTTTGAAAAGATGTGCTGGAAGCTTGTGACCACTGGTATAAGTGCATTACATTGTGTATGTGTATTCCCTCTGCTGATCTTGCTCACCTGAGAGTAAACAACAACAGGATTTTCCAGGTGCAGTTAAATTCTGGCTGTTTGATATCACTCCAGCATGTGCTCCACAGTACATGCCTCGAATTGTGGTGTGTATAATGAACCCAAATTGATAGCTTTCGGGGGGCTGCTTGAACTAAGGGCAACGTAATTAACAATAAAAACTAGGCTGAAGAGTTGAGAAAATTGTGTTATTGCCACATATTTAGTGTGGATTTATTGTAGATCAGATGCTATCTGTAGTGTGTTGCTTCTGGAATGACAGCCTACATTCAAATTTCTTCATCTGATAAACCTGGGGGATTCATTACCACAAGTAACAAAGGAATCTGACATGCGGCAATACTGGTCTAATAAGTGGTGTATATAGCAGCCTGAGGCATTCCTAGCGCCTCATTAAATAAATAATAAATGTATCTTTCTCTTAAAAGGGGAAGAGAGGAGCTATTAAAGTTTTGAATAATTACATTATTCAAAGCAGTAGCTCAACTTGAATAAAACCTATTCACCATACACAGAATGACTGGCTGGACCTGCTTGCTTTCTTTTACCCTGTCAAATCCCCAGCCTCTGACCTTACATTAAAAAGCTTGTCTTGCAGGACTTCTAAGTTGCTTTCTGAGTAGGTTTTCCTGTAAAAGTGTCATAAAGATTGGATAAATAAGGCTTTAAAGCTTATTGTTGCTTTTTCAAGAAAGGAATTGAAAGTCCCTTGAAAGTTAGAGACCTGAAATTAAACCTCTATGAGAAAGTCTCTTGTATAAAAGGGTCTCTTCTTTCAACACAGAGGCAAATTTGTTAGGTATATCCTTTACAGAGCTCTGTCTGCTTTATGGCATCCCAAAATCTGGGCTAAGCTTGGGATAATAGCTTCCTGGCCAGTTCAGAGGTATGACAGAGGTCAGACCTATATGAAGCTGAATTTTCTGTTCTCTAGGGTTTTAAAGAAATCAATTAAACTTATTTAAATCTGGCTTCTTGCTTGACTTTTCTAAGCTGTACTAGGTTTGTTCGCCTTGAGGCATGTTCTAGGGACGTTAGAAGGAAGGCTTTTGGAGCTTGTGCCAGGTTGATTGCTAAGCACAGGCACTTGTTCCATGTGATAGTGTTTTGCTGGCAATGTAAGGATCTTGTGCCATGGGAACAGTTCATTTAGTGGCTTCTGGTAGAATTTAAAATTAACTTTACTGTTTTCAGTACGGTCATCTGGTAGCATCCAAGACAGTTGTTAGCATTTCTGTAGATAATTACTTCTAGTATAGCAGCTCTTCAGACCTTTAGATGTTGTTAGATCACACAAAAAGCTTAATTATTTTCACTTTGGAACTTGAGGTTTCTTGATTCTCTGTTATGTCATATTACATCATCCTTAAGAGCAAAAAAACTCTTGAAAAAAGTCTTTCCTAACCCACTGAAAGCTTCTTCTCTGGTACATATAATCTGCTCTTGATGTCTCTGGATTCATTTGTGCTTTTGGACTTGTGTGCCTTTGGTCAGGTTAGGCCAGAGGATAATGGCTATGGAAAGTAACATCTTCAGCCTCACCTTTGGATTAAGAGCAACTTCCCTGGCCTGGATTTCTCTATAAGCATACTAGGATTTTCCAGTGTTTGCAAGAGATGATGGCAAGGCATATTTGGTAACTGTATGAGAAGGCAAACCCTTTTTGGCAACTGAAGCTGCTTGAGCAAAAACTGTCCTTGTATTAATGTGATTTATTTTGGAACCAGCCAAAGAAACCTGGTTTTCTGGGACCTTTTGAAGTTTTCACTTGTACACTTTGGGGCAGGGACTCCAGGATTCATTGCAAAACCTGTCTTGGAATCTTTGGTCTTGCTGTTGGTGGAAATGTTTGGGTAAAAATAAACCATCTGATTTTTAAGGAAAAGGGGGACTAGTCACATTAACGAGAAGTTAGTCCATTTTAAGACCTAGCATATTCACATAATATACTTCATTGTGACTGATGTCACCTGTCATGTTCCTTTCTAGAGTTTAATTTTTTTGTATGCATCTTTGTGGTAGCTGAGCTCATTGCCAGTCTCTGGTATTGACAAATCTGTGTGGTGCACTGGATACCAGCTTAGATTTGATAGATAATTAGTGAAGCAAGATATGCTGGAGTAGTCCTGTGGTCTCATTGCACGTTTTCCTAATGTGTACCGGATTAAGTTAAATCAGCCAGTGTAACAACTACATGGATATTCTTTATTTTCAGTAAAATGAATAAATGCAACTAGGGGTTTGTGCTTGACTAGGGGAGGGAGGATTGATATATCACTGAGTAGATTAAGAGTTTTACTACTTGATTTCTTTTTAGGTACAGAGCGTTTTGAAACCCAGTCACCATAAGGATGGGCAGGAGCTTAATGCTTTGCTGAATGCCCCTCACATGCAGGTAAAACAAAATGAAACTTCTAATCTAATGAAGATATTTCTTGGTGCTGTTTCAGTATAACTTGGCGTTTTGCAGGTGTCTGGGGCTGAGTGGGCAAGGTGGATTTTATTCTTCAACTTTTAGTACTTTTCTGGGATGAGGACTTTCTAATTTCCAGGAACTAATGGAAAGTTCTAATCAAGTGTAGTGCACAATTGTATTCAGCCCTTGCTTCGTTCTATGTGTATTATGGCATAATTTGCACATAAACAATGTAGCAGTACAACAGTAGGGTCAGGGCAACACATGAGCTGCTTTGCTTATCTATGTTTTTGACAGCTGTTTTGTGCCTACTATAGGGTGCATAAAGGGAATTTTGTCCTGTAGTGATGTAAATCCAGGAGCAGTTTTCACTGCAGTAACTTCTTATGTCTGTATCCTCAGTCACATACACGGTAAGCCAATGTCTGTATTTTTAGGAAGGAGAGGCTGTAAATACAGTTGTGTGTTCAAATTTTTTTTATTCTTTTTCCAATCTGAAAGGAAAGTTTTGGAAATAGGTGGGTACTACATAGCTGTGATAAATGATTTTTTTTTTATCGCTTGAATCAATTTGCAGTATTCCGTAACCTGCAAAGTGTAGTCAAATTGCAGAATGTAATTGAACTGTACTATTTTGTATACATATAAAGTGTGAAAATTTCTGTCACTGAGCTGATTTTGTTTAACACTAGGCGCTTTTACTGGCTCATGATAAGGTTGCGGAACAAGAAATGCAACCAGAGCCTGTGACAGATGAAAAACTTTACGAGAATGTTGGAGTGTATGGAGGCGAGACAGTTAAAATAGTTCGCATTGAGAAAGCTCGGGATATTCCGTTGGTAAGTACTGGTATTTATTCAGTTATATGTAAAAGAGGTAAGCTTTTTTGTCCTTTCCAGATTCCTGTGACAGTTTTGGAATTCTAATGTGGAGGTGATGTTTAACTTGTAAACAGTCTCCCTCCCTCCCTCCAAAATGAAAAATAGTCATAGACAGTAAACTTGTGTTTATCTTCATATAACAGTAGCTGTACTACCATTTAAAATCTCTACAACCTCTGTCAACTTGGGTTCAGACAGGACTTCTTGACAAAAATGACTATCCCAGGCTTTGCTGCAGGGGAGCTTGTAGTGTTGTGCCAACCACATATTACTCTTTTTTTTTTTTTTTTTTTTTTAACTCTCATCTTCTATTTTGCATCGTTCAAATAAGTGTTTCCTTAGGAATACGTTTTTTAAAAAAAATCATTAATCATTAAATTCTTCAATCTTTAGTGCAGCTTGAAGAAATCTTTAGTGCAGGTTGGTGGTTTTTACACTGGAGCCTTGGGTGTATGCATCCGAGCTGTTACTTGCATTCTCTTTCAACATAGTTTCTCCACTGGCTTGGAGTGTATACGAAGGATGGCTTTGAGTTTTGTATATGTAATAAATTCAGAATGTGTTGCTACTACACAGGGTGCTACTGTTCGCAATGAAATGGATTCTGTTATCATTAGTCGAATAGTGAAAGGAGGTGCTGCAGAGAAGAGTGGGCTGTTACATGAAGGGGACGAAGTTCTGGAGATTAATGGCATTGAGATTCGTGGAAAAGATGTTAATGAAGTTTTTGACTTGTTGGTGAGTTGAACACTTATTGTTTTCCCTGCAAAAAATACTCATTTCATAAGACTCAAGCCTATTGGCTCTGCTTGGTATTTGTACTCATACTTAGTTTAAAAGTATTTTCATTCTGATAGCTAGTGTTTGTATGTGGAGGGCCATTTTTATTTCTGTTACATAGTATGATATTAACAAGTACAATGGCAGTTATCTTCAAAAATGAAGCCTACAAATGTGGAAGAGTCAAGCTATCATCTTGAGACTTGCTTTTCATGATTTCTAAGAAAAACTTTGGCTCTGAAAAGTCATGGTTTCTCATCTTTGTCTCTGGTTGAGCCTGTAATTAGTAACTGTGAGGCTGTGTGATTGTGGTAGTGTCTGGCTGGGATGGAGGTAATTTTCTTCATAGCAGCTGGTATGATGCTGTGGTTTAGGTTGCCTTTAGATTGAATCAGTGTTGATAATGCACCAATGTTTTAGCTATTGCTGAACAGTGCTTGCAGTGTCAAGGCCTTCCTCTTTCCCCTGCCTGCAAGTAAGCTGGGGGTGAGCAGGAGGTTGGGAAGGGGCCACAGCTGGGACAGCTGGCCTGGATTGACCACAGTGATATAGCATGCCATATACATCATGCTGAGCAATAAAAACTGGGTGGTGAGCGATTGCCTCTGCATCACTTGTTGGGTTGGGATTTTTCCCCTTCATTTATTAAACTGTCTTCACCTCAACCCATGAGTTTTTCTTGCTTTTGGTCTTCTGATTCTGTCCCCCATCTTCTGGGGAAGGGGAGTGAGTGAGGAGCAGGTGGATGCTTAGTTGCTGGCCAGGCTTAACCCACCGCAAATGGTATCACACGGGAACTTTACATGTCTAGACTTCTTACTCTTTTCCTTCTGATAAAAATCCTTTTGTCCAGCAGTTTACCAGCATGGACATTTTTCTGTTTATTACACTTTTACCATTCATGACAAAATTACACATCAGTTCAAAAGCAGCTAGTCAAACCAACAGGCAAGAAATCCATGAGGAACTAATAAATGCAGAGGTACTCTCTGTCAAAGGCCCTGTGAGATAGAATGTCAGAAGCTGGGAATTACTTGGATTTTCTGTTGCCTGATATTGCTCTTTTCTTGTGCTTTTCTCCGGCACCTGCTGTTGATCAGTGCCCACAATGGCTCACCTGGAACCTGACTATGAATTCTTGGTCTGATTGCAGCAGGCAAGACCATTCTGTCAAAGTGAAAACAGATGAAAAATTATGATTTTTTTAGAAGTTAATTTATAACATTGATACAAAAGATTGGAAATATCCACTAGCACTTATTTAATATAATCTTTGAAAAAAAGAAATATATTTAGTAAATCTTCTAGTTACTTCTAATCTATGCTCTATAGATGAATGAAAATCAGGACAAAGACCTGGGTTCTGCTGTAGGTTGCATTATTGGAAGAATAGGCAGCAATATCCATAATGAAGTTGTCTCATGCTATATTAAGACTGTATAGTTGTCTCTATAGTAAGTATAGTAGTATGCTGTAATAAGACTGTAGTTTTTAATGGACTATTTCGACCTTTAGTTGGATTTTTTTTCTGAAATTTGCAGTTAAAAATTTTCAGCTAATGCATGGAAAGACATCCAGTAGAGGGAAGTAGAGGCAGAAGGGGGGGGGGGGGGGTTTGTTTGTTTTTTTTTTTTGTTTTAAGCCATTTAAAAAAATTCTTCTAGTGATTAGAAAAGCCTTCAAATCTCCATGTGTTTTTTGGATTGGAGATATGAGATTCTTCATGCTCTGTAATTGTCCCAGTCTGTTTGGTTTATTTTATTTCTTTAAAATCCGTATGTAGTTAAGTCCTATGCTTCTGAGACGTGTGTTTTGTGCATGCTTGACAAACAATTCAGCTCTGTCAGTTCAGTTCTCTGCAGAGAGCCTGTTCTGCTCTTCAGCAGCTCCTGCAACCTAGAGTTACAGAATGAAAGATTTTAAATCACAATACATTAACATAAGAGCAAATTACTTGCTGAAAATTTAGAAAACACTTGCAGATTTTTTGAAATATATTTTTTAGTTGTTAATTTAGGGTAATATTTTTAGTTCTTTAGATGTTATCTTTTGTATTTTCTAATGTGGAAGCAAAGTTTTAAAATGCTTCAGTCCCCAAAAAATACTTCAAACAAGCACAGGAGAAGGAAATTACTTTCCTTCTTAATTTTGCCTCACCACTTGCTACTCAAATGATAATAAACTGTGCATGACTTTAGAGAAGACTATTCACACAGTCACAGTGAAATTCTATGCATTCCTCGTGGAACTATACATGCTGACTGAAAATCATGGATTTTCCTTTCCTGCAGCCTAATCATGTTTTATGCTCAGTTATGTTTACTTTATTTAAGCCTTAGGTCTGAATTTTTTGAGATACAGTTGCTTTGGTTTTATACAACATAAATTGTTGTGTTACGGTCCATGGAATGATGTATAGGAAATGAGACCTACATAGACCTTGTCACGGGTTAGCACTTGCATTTTATCTAGATATTATTTATGTGTGCAAACACACTGTGCCTACAGAAGTATGCAAACAAGAATTCTTTAAAGCCAGGACACTTAATATGTTCTACTTTCTTAGTAGTGGTGGTTGCAATATTGATATTAAATACTTTACAGATGCAGGTTTTGAGTGTGTTAGTTAAATTTTTAAGCGGTGTTTTGTATACTTTAATAATGTTAACAGCATAAAATTATAGTAGAAATGTTTAGATCTGAAAACACTGTTCAACTTAAGCAATTTTAGAAAAATTAATAACCTTTTATGTATTTTTTCTCCCCAGCGTAGATCCACTTGTGGTATTTTTGAACAGAACAAGAGAATATTATTCTCCATTTCTCCTAAGTCGCTGCTTAACAGAATTGCAGCTGCTCTATTTCAAATAGAAACAGTTTATGTATAATTAAGAATGTTAGGGTTTTAAAATCTGAATAGCAACATTTGGCTTTCCAGCCTGTCACTGGATCATTGCATCTGTATCTGTACTATATATTTAAACCAGTTAAGGGGTAAATGATGTGCTGTTAGGAACTACCTTTTGGAAGTGTTTTCTAAAATATGTTATATATTAAAATTCTTAACCTTAAGCCATATCTTGATACTGTATAAGAAGAGTCTATTTTTCATCTCAGGCTGACATGCATGGTACTCTGACCTTTGTATTGATTCCCAGTCAACAGAGCAAACCACCTCCTGCGAAGGAAACAGTTGTAAGTAGCTCTACATAAGTTCCTGGGCTTGATGATACCAGTAATGCATAGGAAGTTCTTCTGTAGGCCATTTCCATTGAGGAACAAAATCAAAACTTAGTTGTTTAATTATTACCAGACTAACACCTGAATTAAGTTTTGAAAATGATTGATGGTGTTAAGCTGAAACTCTTACCATGATTTTAACTGTTTCTAAAATAGTAAGAAATTGTAAAAGTAGAACTGCCTGTGCTTCAGAAATTCTGTTTTGAAATTCCCAGTTTCTCTACGCGTGAATGTATATGCACACGCGCGCGCGCGCACACATGCTGAAACTTTGTCCATTATCTTTTTAGCTAACATACTTTTCTTGAGATGGCTTTAACAGTTTGCAGAAAGAATGCACCGGTTTCTATCACAGCCAAGTAAAAACATTAATGGTTGGTGACAAAATAAAATATTTTACAAGTGAAACTTCACCTAAAGCCCAGAAAATGGGTTTCAATCTGGGTATTATTAAGTATTTCAAACAAATCGGAGTATCTCTGATACTTTTGAATGCAAAGAACTTAAATCAGTAGCTCAGGGGGTTTTGCCTCCTAAAGTAGTAAGGAAATTGCATAGACTTTAGAATTAACAAGAGTTAAATTCAGGCCTTCACCTCCAACCTAGCACAACTGTCTTTTCCGTTGCTAACCCAGGTAATGTTTCCATTCCAGTAGCTCTTGTATGTCCTAGATCAAGTTTCTATTTTGTAGAATCTTGAAGTTTTTCTATATCAGATTTCCACTGCAATCACAAGAAGATGGGGTGTGCAGTTCTTCAGAAGTCACAGGGGGTTTTTTCTTCTGTTTTTACATTTGATCTTCCACAGATACACGTGAAAGCGCATTTTGACTATGATCCCTCTGATGACCCTTACGTCCCCTGCCGAGAGTTAGGCCTATCTTTTCAAAAAGGAGATATACTCCACGTGATCAGCCAAGAAGATCCAAACTGGTGGCAGGCTTACAGAGATGGAGATGAAGATAATCAGCCATTGGCAGGCCTTATCCCTGGTAAATAAAGCTCTAGAAAAAGCTTGACAGCCAGTTGTTCCCGTAGCCACAGGAGCAATATTCTGGTTTTCAAAGACTCATATACCTTAAATATCTGTGACTTGGAGCCTTTTGCAACAGAGCCTGCTGTTGGTTATGTAGTTCACTTAATTAAAAGGTTGACCTTTTAGAGGCATCTCCACGTACAGATGTTAATGTAGAGTAAAGCTGCTGCTTCCACTGCAGTTCTCCTTTCAAGAGCTATTCTCCTCTTCCTTTACTCCTCCATCTTGGGGACTCTGTGTATTCAGAGTTCCCTCTACTGGCTATGGCAGAAACCTGGGACTTTAACCTGCTTGTTCTCTGAAGATAGGAGCAGCAGTTAGGTTTCTTACTATATCAAGTAGTCTATTTGAAAAATGTATCTTTTTTTGTGGTAACTTTTCTGCATGTTTTCACTTGGCAAAGAGCTTCAGTTATTTGTAATGGTCATGCTTCCTTTCTAACTGTTGGGGGCCTCTCAGTAATAGGGTTTTCAGACACTGAAGCCAGAATATAATTTTTGCATTGAGATGTGTACTCTAGTCTGTTAAAGACCTGCTGATGTCTTAAATACAGGGAACAAAAGACTTTTCAAATTCCATAGAATATCACACTGTTACCTTATGGCATTTGAGTAAGTTGAGAGGAACACTGATTTAAATAAAGGCTAATCTTCTCCGAGCTGAGGTTCAAAAGATTTAGTATAAATAGAACACATTTAATATACAAAAATAATTAGGAAAACCTATCATCATAGTGGGGAAATGTACTTTTTCCAATACTTTCAAATTTCCAGGCAAAAAATGTCCAGAGTAGTACAAATGCTTTGCAAGTCTTTGTTGATTAATATATTTTTGAAGCAATAAACAAGCTTCTCAGCAGTTTTAATTTATCTTTTTAAGTTTATCTTGTATGTCATATTCTACTAGAGCCTTCAGAGATTTAAAACCTTAGGAAAAGGTAATATGTGTAAGTCATTACAAAAACAGTATGGAAATGGTTTCTAAATGTTCACTGCTTTTGTCTTTTTTTTTTTTTTAAATGCCTTAAGGAAAAAGTTTTCAGCAACAGAGAGAAGCAATGAAGCAAACTATAGAAGAAGACAAGGAGCCAGAAAAATCAGGTTGGATATATGCTTCCCAATGAAAAAAAAGTAACTCTTGGAGGTGCTAATTAGTGATATCTGGAACCTGGTCACTGTGGAGTTGCAGAGAAGTCTCCTATTCTTTGTGATACAAGTGGGATGATTCGTTGAAATTCTTGATGTAAATATAGGTCTCAATTTAGCACTTCGTTATATGAATCACATGCTTTTTCATAACTTACGTGCAGTGTAATTAAGCTGAGGAAGGGGAATTTGGAAACCCCTTTTTTCATAAAGAATTTTATCTGCCATGACTCAGTTGAAGTCCTTGGCATGCAACATTTCATACACCAGATGATTGTAATGAGCTGAAGAATATTATGCCTTTTCAAAACTGCAGAATAAATTCCCAACTTTAAAGATCCAGATAGTAGGTAGGATAGGAAGCTTTGTACTGTATGTGTATTTGATTTTTGATGATTTTTATTTTGGTTAGGAAAACTCTGGTGTGCGAAGAAAAACAAAAAGAAACGGAAAAAGGTTTTATACAATGCAAATAAAAATGATGGTAAGCAATGTATTTTGCACAGTGTGTGCACTTATAATCAACTATAAAACAACTTGTGAAAAGAGTGCTGAAATTCAGGATATGATGTTAGAAGTAGTGCCTGATGATGTTCTGTGTGGGAGCAGTAGTGTGGTTGTAATAGCATTTAGTGAAAGATGTGAAAGAGGTGGCAGGATTTGTTAGGGTCATTTACTGTCTTTATTAAAGACCAAATAATGAGGTAAAAAAGCAGCTAGCTTTTTAGGCATGGAAGCAGTCATAATTTTGCGATGATGAACCAATTTATTATGGTTTTGTAGTAATATATCACTTCACACTATTGAGTTTAGTAAATGGAAACTTGCTCCACAGAGAGTTTGTAGGCTATTTATACTATATTTTTACAAAAGTACTTTGGGATTGGGATGATGATTTTTGTTGGTTTGGGGCATACAGTGTTGTTCTTGTACTAGAAACTTGTTCCTTGGCAAGAAAGTTGTTTCCTGAGTTTATGCTACTGCTTATATCAGTAGTAAGTGGAAACGCATTTTCTTTCTGCAGAAAGGGGAAAAAAACGCCTCATCTTACTAGGCAAGTGATGATCTTTGGGGTTCTGTTGCTTTGGTGACTCGCAGTTAGACGCTGGGCCGAGAGTCAGGAGCTGCCTGAAACTTGATACTGCATGACAGGCAATACATGCAACTAGTAGTAAAGTATGTTGTGACTAGTTTATTGTTTCTCTCTCAAGATTATGACAATGAGGAAATTTTGACCTATGAGGAAATGTCACTGTATCATCAACCAGCAAATCGGAAACGGCCTATTGTTCTGATTGGCCCACAGAACTGCGGCCAAAATGAATTGCGGCAGCGACTTATGAATAACGAAGTGGATCGCTTTGCCTCTGCAGTTCCCCGTAAGTTTGACGGGCCAATACAATTGCTTATTCTAAACACTGTCTGCAGACAAATCCTCTAGTGTTGAAAGTGGCAATTAGGAATTTGAGGATTTTGAGCAGGATGTAGTCAGCTCTTGGATAAAGGACAAATAAAGTTACATCTTGTGTGGCAAAAAGTAGCTTTGGTAAGTCAATGCAAATCCAGTGTCCCAACACAGTGTTGTAGAGGTATTCTAAGACATACATGTATTTTGGTTTGAATAAAATTGGGGAGTGAGTTACAGAAGTTTAAAAAACAAACTGGTATGTCAGTCAAAGAATTTTTAACCTACATATCCTACCTAAATTTAAATTTAGGTGGCTTTAGTGCATTCCCAAACCACTTATATTTCAGTGAATTTTATATTTTTAATGTCCGATGTACCCTAAATTAGGTTTACAAACAGCTTAACAGTATAACTTGTTATAAACAACTAATAGCTGTTTTCACATCCAGAATGCAGCTGCATAGGTGAAACTATTCTTTTCCTTGTTGACTATTTTTTTTTTCCTCTAGATAATGTAAACAAGACCTCTAAATGTAGGTTCAGCCTTCGGCAGCTTAATCTGTCCAGGGATACTTATTGTAGAAAAGAGAATACTTGCATTTCTTGGATATTTCAAATGCCTTTTTTTTGCTTGGTTCTCCAAAGAGAACCACTTATTTCTTTTGTTTGGTTCTACAGGTGTATCCCTGTTTTGATTTGGTTTTTGTTGCTCTTGTTTGTAGATACTACTCGGAGCAGGCGAGAGACTGAAGTAGCTGGCAGGGATTACCATTTCATTTCCCGACAGGCATTTGAGACTGACATAGCAGCAGGGAAGTTCATTGAATATGGAGAGTTTGAAAAGAACCTCTACGGTACTAGCATAGACTCCGTGCGGCAAGTAATCAACTCTGGCAAGATATGCCTTTTAAATCTTCATACCCAGGTATGGCAAAGCTGTTGCCTGTTGTACTTTAATTGTAGAAGGTACGGTGAAAATCTGAAGAGTTGTATTTGGTTTATATAAAGCAAGTGTGTTTTCAGGGTCCATTTTCATGTTTATTCCAAGTTCTCTTTCATGGTGTTCTGTGAACTCTGTTTAGTGTGTTATGAATTTTGCTCCTTGTTTGGAGATGTACACACTTCTTTATCTGTGCTAAAAGTGATAGGGGTTTGGTTTCCGGATACCTAAAGCTGGAAGAACTATCTGAATTGAAAAATTAATTAAAATAAGATTTGTGTGTCCCAGTCTTCCAGTTTCTCTGTGAGCTCTGAGGTTTTTGAAGATGAAGAGGAAGTTGTTTGTGATCATACTTGGAAGCTGCATTTTGGGAATGCTTATGCAGTTCCGTAACAGACAGGATTAAAGTACTTCACATCAACAATATTGAAAAGCTCTTTAGCTATGATCTTGATTATGGAGAAAGAAGAGACAAACTGTGCATGCAGACCTCACTTGGAAATTTAGTCAAACCTGGGAAGAGGCAGAGTACTGGAACACAGCCCATTTCGAATACGTATGATATGTATTGGGTCTACTGCTGTTAACAGATGCTGCAAAAGAAGCCCTAAAACTCAGACACATCAGTAAAGTCTGGTAATATTGAAGCTGTAATTAGCCATCACCAGTTGGGACCATGTGATACTTTACTAGAATGTTCACAGGTATCGCAAAGTATGTAGTAAGCTGAAAATTTGTAACACTTTGAAAACTGGACTAATTCTGTGGTTATAAAAATATGTCTCAGAGATGAGTTGTTTGTCCCGAGACACATAGAAGGAACCTTTTGGAAAAATCAAACTGTTGTTTGGTTCTTTTTATTTCCCATCTCTTAATATAAATGTAACCTGCCAAAAAAAAATATGCTAAGCATACAGTACTAGTGCATCTGATACCTTGTATTTTAATTTTCAAAACAGATAAGGTTAAACTGTAGTACTTAAAGCCAACTGTAGTATTTCAACTCTGTTGAAAGCTGATACCATTCCTTAGCATTGTAAGGAAACTTACTTCAACGTAGGTGACTTTTTTTGGCTTTGCTTTTGGAAACCCAAGTCCCTTCAGTTTAGTTATGAAGAATATTCTTGAACAAAAGTAAACGTTTGGGTTCCATGAATCTGAAGAGTGTTGGAATATCAGTTTTGTAGGAAAATGGTGACTGAATGGATTGTGAATTGGTTGAATGAAAGAAGTCAGAGAGTTGTGGTGAATGGGACAGAGTCTAGTTGGAGGCCTGTATCTAGTAGAGTCCCTCAGGGATCAGTACTGGGGCCAGTGCTATTCAATATACTCATCAATGACCTGGATGAGGGAACAGACTGCACTGTCAGCAAGTTTGCTGATGACACAAAACTGGGAGGAGTGGCTGACACGCCAGAAGGCCGTGCTGCCATTCAGAGCGGCCTGGACAGGCTGGAGAGTTGGGTGGGGAGAAATTCAATGAAATACAGCAAGGGCAAGCGTAGAGTCTTGCAGCTGGGAAAGAACATCCCCATGTACCAGTATAGGTTGGGGACAGAGCTGTTGGAGAGTAGCGTAGGAGAAAAGGACCTAGGGGTCCTGGTGGATGGCAGGATGGCCATGAGCCAGCAATGTGCCCTCGTGGCCAAGGCGGCCACTGGCATCCTGGGGTGTATTAGAAGGGGTGTGGTCAGTAGGTGGAGAGAGGTTCTCCTCCCTCTCTCCTCTGCCCTGGTGGGACCACCTCTGGAATAGTGTGTCCAGTTCTGGGCCCCTCAGTTCAAGAAGGACAGGGAACTGCTTGAAAGAGTCCAGCGCAGAGCCACAAAGATGATTGAGGGGGTGGAACATCTCCCTTCTGATGAAAGGCTGAGGGAGCTGGGTCTCCTAAGCTTGGAGGAGACTGAGGGGTGACCTCATTGATGTTTATAAATACGTAAAGGGCGAGTGTCAGGAGGATGGAGCCGGGCTCTTCTCGGTGATGGCCAATAACAGGACAAGGGGCAATGGGTACAAGCTGGAGCATAGGAGGTTCCACATTAATATGAGGAAAAACTTTTTCACTGTGAGGGTGACAGAGCACTGGAACAGGCTGCCCAGAGAGGTTGTGGAGTCTCCTTCTCTGGAGACGTTCAAAACCCGCCTGGACATGTTCCTGTGTGACCTACTCTAGGTGGTCCTGCTCTGGCAGGGGGGGTGGGCTAGATGATCTTTCAAGGTCGTTTCCAACCCCTGACATTCTGTGATTCTGTGAACTCATCAGTGGTGATGTTACTGTTACTGTTATGGTTAATTATACTGCTGTTAATATATTGTACAATTGTCATTGTGTTTGAAGACTGTATTATCAATTATAGCATGTGAGTAATGCATTATTAAATGGCCTTTTCATGTGTGGAACTGTTAAATATTTAATAAATCCTATTTCTGCAGTCACTGAAGACACTACGAAATTCTGACTTGAAGCCATATATTATATTTGTTGCACCACCTTCACAAGAGAGATTACGTGCTTTATTGGCCAAAGAAGGGAAAAACCCAAAGGTAATGGGGCTTAACACTTCTTCTGAAACCATGCTGCTTTTTATCTACAGATCTGGAATGACTGTGGTAAACAAATATGTATACTCTTTGTTTGGAATTGGGAGATGGTAATGGTACTAACAATAACATGGGAAGCAGTGTAGTTGAGATCTGTGTACTCCAGGTTAGTAGGCAGACCATACTAAGGGAAGCACTCAGGATGCTTTCACCTAATGGAATGTGAGAGGTATGAGGCAAGGGAATCCACTGTCAATTTAATAATCCTTGGGCACAGTGTCTCAGTTGTAGTCCCTGCATTTGGGTACAAAAATATGACCCTTTATTTCAAAACTGGAAAACCCAACTCTGTCCTCAATAAACCCAAGAGTAATCCTAGGGAGCAAATGATTATTGTTTTGCTTTTGAGAATTTATCTGCCCTTGGAAAAGCATTTATTTGAAAATGTGTTTCAAAACTCTTCAGATAAAGTTATTTTAATCTTGATGATGTAGGTTCACTTTTTGTGTTTCAGCCAGTGTCATGTCAAGATCTCGGCTTATCCAGTTCAGATCATTTGGTTAATGAGAAGTTAGTTCTGCAGAATGGAATTGAAACCCATAGATTAAAGCAAAACTCGGCAAAGGTCCTTATTAGGTTGTGAGATACAAAGTGCTTATTGCTAGGATAATGAAATATGTTGATCTTCAGCTTTTTAACTGAAATGTACCCTACAGTGGCTGGTAGGAGCACTTTGCCACCACAGTATCTTCAAAGTACTAACTGGGCATAATGTAGTTCATAGTGAGGAAGAACAGTCTTCCCAGCATCACTCAAAGGGACTCCTGACACAGCTGTTGGTCTGGAATTGTACCTCGCCACAGTCTACGGCCAAGTTGATTTCGTGCAAGGTTGATGTATTGCCTAGATGTAAGATCTAAGATATCTAAAAGTCCATTAAAGTCCCAAGTCTCAAAACAGAAGGATTTTTCTCTTTTTTTAATTTGCCTGAGTCAAATATAATCATAGTTTTTAAGTGGGCATGTTTCCTCCTTCATGGTTATGCAGCGAATGAAATTTTGTTTTACATAAGTACTTCATCTTGTGTATGTCCTGTTTTTTTATTGCAGTAATCAAGGAATCTATTTGCAATAAAAATTAATACACTGTTATTGGTGTTAAACTATGCCTGTTTTCTTTCTGATTAATCGTATTAGAGTTGTATTTATTTCAGTTCGGTAAATGCTGCTGTGTTAAACCTCCGATAAAGAAAAGGGTATTTCTTGCACGTGTGTGGCTTTGATTTTCTTAAGTGTATACCACGCCTAGAAGAAAAATCTTGAAGACCTGAAATCCCTTTTGAAAATATCCTCTTTAGAAAATTATCTCAAAAATTATACCTGAATATTCCTTTATATAATACAAAAATAAGCTGCAGAAGAGAAAAACACACTTTTAAAATCCAAGTGTAAAAACAATCTGAAGCGAAACAAACCCTTTCTGCTTCTCTCTTTGCATCATTTATCTACATCTGCAATATTCTAACATACTCCTTTCCAGCTTCCAAATCAAGTTTTCTGTTTTTCTGGAGTGTCATTTACCTGATGCTGTGGTCATTCAATCGACTTAAGTGTATGGCTGTCACCGTGGTTCTCATTGCTGTTTATTGGTGAAAATATTTCGATGATGGCTGTTGCTTTATAGTGTTTGGTGTTTGTAGTGCTACATCTTCACAGAAATGTTGTCTTGTTCTACAACATTCAGACGTATTCTCGCACTGTCTCTGCCATCTCCAGTTTTTTTCAGAAGGATAATGGGCTTAGCAACCTAACTTATTTTTCAGAAACACAACTTAAGAGCCTCAGTAAGGTGAACGTCGTAAGATGAGCAGTGCTAGATCTTCGTTTACTTCAGTCTGGAACAGTTATTTACTGGTTTGCCACTTACGGCCAATCAGAAAGGATTGTCTTGAGTGTCCTTGGCTTTCAAATATGTATCATGGTTTAATGTTATTGTAAATTTTTCAATACCTGGTAGCAATACTATGAAAATTTGTGTGTAATAATTTCTGAGTTGTTGTCTTGCCCTACTCTGTTGTGGGGGAGAGGCTTGCACTCGTACACTAATTTTCTGCTTTTGATTGCAGCCAGAAGAGCTGAGAGAAATCATAGAGAAGACAAGGGAGATGGAACAGAACAATGGCCACTACTTTGATACAGCAATTGTGAATTCTGATCTTGATAAGGCATATCAGGAGTTACTTCGGTTAATAAACAAACTTGACACAGAACCCCAGTGGGTGCCCTCTACCTGGCTACGATGAGAGAGCAACTCCAAGGGACAAATGGACTTCAATCTAGTAATCTTTCCAAGGAGGTTGTGTGTAGGTCTGCCCCATTCTAGTGTAAGTGTGTGTGAGCTCTAGACCTCAGTGGCTGCATCCTTTGCCAGTGAAATTGCGTATTATTGAGAAAATACACTGATCAGCTTGTGAGCCGGTTTAGCTGATATAAAGATTGTCCAAGTTTTCTTTCTCTGTGGTCTAGAAATGGAGACCTTGCTAGTACTAAATTCTAAAGCTTTAGATAACTTTTTTCTAGCCACTACTTTTATACATAAATCCACCTTTTTTTACCTAGAATCACCCTTAAGAAATCAAAGATTTTAAGTATGTGTATGTATATACAGTCCATGCTTGTCACATAGTTATAAATATGAATGTTATTTAACACTTAACTTAATGACTTTGTGGGACATGATGGTATTTCAGGAGCATAATTCTACAGATCATTGGGCAGAGAAATAATCTACACATGAAAAACATTGATGAGAAATCTCTCCTGTTCAAAAAATACACAGAATGAAGATGCTGCTTTGGTCTGGAGCTGCCCCATGAGGCTTGAGTTAATAGTTTAATTCTCAGACATTCCACTTTCTAATAGCACTGTAATTGGAAAATGTGTATAATGTAAATATTTCAATCCTTGTGTCTTTTTAGTCATACTTTTAAAATCAGATTTGACTGCACATTAATTTTAGGTCCAATCAAAGAGTAATATTATATTGATCTTTTAGATGTGATATTTTTATGGAATTTTCTTTGAAACACATTGCCTGATTGGAGCTGCTGTTTTCCACAGATCTGTAGAGATATTTAGAAAGGCAGAGGTTATATTTTTATGAAAAATATATAGTTATAAGACATGCTGCTTAGAAGTCAACTTAAGTTCTCGTGTTTTATAACAGAATACTGACTAAGATAGACTGAGGTGCTGAACATTGGAGGATAGTGGGGTTTTTTTAATCTCTGCAAATGGTTCATCTTGTGGCTGTTGGTCTAACGGAGAACTAACTGGAATTAAAATAGCTGAATGTAGCTACTGTGTTATGAGTATTGTAATTCACTAGCCAACATATTGTCCTGCATTTGCTCAGTACTGCACTGAAAGTGCATGTAAAACACTGGTAACTGACGTGAGAAGTTACAAGAAAGGGGAATATTTGTAATGGTTAAAACAAACTTGAAATGAGTGAACAAAAGGCAAAGTCTGTCTGTATCCTAGTGTGTTCCACAAAGGAGATTGGAACATCTCTGCATCCTCAAATGATTCTGAGCTGTGAAGGTTTAACTACTAAAGCTGTGCATCTGCAGTGGGGCTGCGCTATCGCTGAAGCTAACTGAATAGTAGTATCTTGGCTGTTTTGGTTTTGGGTAGCACAAAGAACCTTGACTGTGAATTATCTCTTCATTTTAGCCATAGTGTTTCTTTGTTCCTACAGGTAAAACACTGGAGTTATGTCAATGTGTAGTTCACTCCTGTCTAATGTTGGAGGATGAAAAAGTAGTTATTTTTTTCCGTCCTGTCTTGTGTACATTCTTTCTTCAAATGTTAATGGAACAAATTCACACCCATAGTTAAATAGAGGGCTCAAAGTATACAGCAGATAGAAATTGTCAGATAACTATCCTAGTTACTGAACTAACATTCAGTACATTTTTGTGTTGTAAAATGGAAGTATAGAGTGCATTCCTGTCGTGTTAGAAAGCAAAATTATTTGCTGGTTTAATTAGTATTTAGGGCTGAAAAGCAATTAAGCAGTTAGCGGGGATAAGTAATGACCCTTCAGAAAGAAAAGGGGTTGGAAACTTTAATATCTTTAGTTCAATTCAGTGTTAGAAATAATAATGTGCTAGAAGTTGGCCTGAGGGTTGGAAATTCAAAGTAATGGCTTTTTGCCTCACATTGCAGGCACTTTCTCAGTTTAAATCCATAGTTCATGGCAACTACAATGTTCAGGTATATTGGATAGTCAGTGTTTCATAGATGACAAAATGCTGTATCGATTCTACCCTTTTTTAAGAAAGATGATTGTAGATGTATTAGACTTTTTGGTATTGACTGTTTCATAGCTGGATGAGAAGGTGGAAAGCAGTAAAATGTGTTTAAGGGTAACCGAGCTCAGCTACGTAGGTACTTTCCAAATTCTTGCAATCACAGTCAGCTCAAGCTGGTTGCTGAACCCCCTTAGGTATTCAGTGTTCATAGGCAGTGTCACAATAAATAATGCCATCAAAGTACTTGACTGATGTTTGTCTCCCCAGTTTTTCAGAAACAGTGTACAGAGGCTGTTTCTATACAGATAAGCTTTTGAATGTAGACTTAAAAGAATGTTGCTTGAAGTTCAGCTCTACTCTTTTAATTTCCAAGGCACACGGTACTCACTGACATCCGTGTAGAGAGGTGCTATGATAGTTTGTAACCAATGTTAGCTTTGTCTCCTGCCGAAAGGAAAGGCTTGAGCAGCACTCAGAAATGTACCTGGCTGTCCATCTGCTGCCAGCTTGGACCTAGAACTACCTTGCATAAGAAATTATTCTGCTTTCTTTAATGAAGAATGTGTGTTAATTCCCTTGAGAGTAAAAGAGAATATGCAAACTTCACTGGTGAAACTCTTCATCCTTATCACAGGCTTTGTAGTGAGCTGTATCAGACTGAAATGAGGCTATCTACATTTTTACCAGTCCAGAATTAATTAAAAATAAATAGTAGCTGAATTGCCTAACAGAATTTTGGAATGTAATTATATGTGACTTTTTAAAATATAAGAGTGGGGCGTTTAATGCCTTAAATAATTAAGGTAACTTTACTGAGACCTGTGGTTAGCCCCACACTGTACTTTTATACATGTATCTGCACTCTGTATTTTGAGACATCATGAACTGCACACTAATGTAAAAATGTAAAATATTTCTAGATTTAAAATAAATCACTGTACAATTTTACTTCTTGGAGTGGATCTTGGGAATCTTCTTTCTGCCACTTTGCTGAATGTGTGAAAGATGCTGTGACCCATCAGTGCCCTAGAGGATGTCCCCTGTTCCTTCTGACACCGTGCATCCGGTGGGAGAGGTAACATGTCCTCAGGTCTAGTTTCTTTCAAGCTGGACCTGTATCTTACAACTGAGTATGGACTTACAGCTCAGCTGTGCTGCCTTCAGCTTCAAAAAAGAAAAGAAATGGCCTTGTACTTCATACAATTACAAAATTACTTTTTAAAGGTGTTAATAGAAATTAATTTCCTTGCACTTACCCTGCATCTGCACTTAAGTGCTGGATCATGATTAAAGAAAGATGCTTTACCTTGAAGAGACAAGAAGTACTAGAGACAAGGTACTAGTATTGGCAGGTGTTTAGTTTGCTAATTGCAAATCCCTGTCTTTAGGAAAATGGCCCTTCAAACTGAACAGCATTTGGTGGCAGCCTGTTTATCAGCTGCTCTCCCAGACTCCCCTGATCAGCCTAGGACATGAAGAATCACAGCAAGGACGGACTGCTGTACATTCAACCCTGCTTTGCTTGCCAACCTACTGGTTGCAAGGAAGATTTGGAGCAACGGGTAGCTGGACAGTTAGGAAGTTTCTGTCTGTTTGCGGCAGGAGGGGAGCCCCTTCTCTTTGGTTACTTACCTAAAGCAGTAAAGGTGAAGCGAATGTGGGCACAGGCTGAAAAGAGATGTGCCCAGTGCAGATTCTAAGTTGGGGGTAGGGGATGAAGTGAAGGTTTTAGTTTGAAATCAACGTGACAGACTTTTAAGACCATCATCTTCTAGCAACTTCAGCTAGACACCAGATACATAACATTTAAAATTTTTACTTGTTTCTAGCAGAGACAGTACACAAGTTGGCATAACCTCTAATTAAAACCAAAGATGTTTTAGGCCAATGATAACAATCGTGCAACAAAAACAAATCACAGAAGACTGTGGATTTCATCAACAGGTTAGAAAACTAGAGTTGCCTTTGCTGACATTTGACTTCAGCTGTGCTTTAAGCAATTTGTACGTTAACAGTTCAGCAGTAAAGAACATTACATGCATCTCCCTCCCCAAATAATGTTTTCCTCTACGTGCACAAGGAAGGGGAGCATTGAAAGAGGAATCCGATTAGGCAAATCAAGAGCCATCCTGCAAAAACCATAGCTACGGACAGTCATTCCTACTAAGTGAAAAAACAGGCTGAGCGTGCAATAGAAGGCTTTCCTGATAGTACAGCACCTGACTCATCTCCCATTTTCTGCCTGTGCTGCAGTCAAGTTCTCAGATTTCTAATCTCCCAGGAGAAATCCACAATCCATTCAACTCAAGACTTACACACCAACGGAGAAGCCACACAAGTATCATTGAGGCAACATGTCCTGAATGATATTGCAATTGGACATTCTGGATTGTGGGTCCCCTGCTCCATATACAACAACTGTGCTGGGTTACTCAAAGAGAAGGTCTTCATCCTTCTCTTCTGCTAAGAGATTGGCTGGCTCATGTTCCCCACCAGCAGCCCTCCGCAGCTCCCGTTCTTTCTCAGATTTTTCTTTCAATACTTTTTTCTTTTCCTGAATCTTCTTTAACCTGTGAAGAGAAATATCGTTTATCTGCGAAACAAGTATATTTTCATAAAACAGGCTAGCAGCAAAGATGCCATACAACTTGGATATGATAAAGCTCCCTGGAGGAGATCCCCAGGAAATTAAAATCCTGTAACAAATGGCAAAAGGCTTTTATCACTAGCTGCTGCCATTGAAAAAACTTCATCTCTGCAGATTAACTCATTTCTTCATCCAACCTATATATTCTTGACCGTAAACAATGCATTATACTACTCTGCTTGTCTTTAATGAATTTAAATCTCCTTTAATTCATTTCAAGTTTGACATTTTTGCTTCAGGTAGCCCAGAACACACCTGTATGGCAGAGGTGTCCTTAAAGCAGAACACCTCAGTGTACTGTATCACATCATTCCCTCTGGAAGAATGATGACAGCTATGTACAATCTCATGGTAGGGATTCATTTGTAACTTTCAGACAAGTAACTGCAGATCTCCAAGTGCCCAGCTCTGGAAACTCAGTGTGCAGTAAGAACTAGGTCATGTTTAACAGTCTTCACTGCCAGACTTAGTGAGTAGTTCCCGTAAGTCTATTTGAGAAAGAGACCAGGCTAGTGTTAGATATTTACCTGTAGAATTCCTCTCGTTCTCGTTCATCCAGTTCTGTGATGATATAAGAAAGAGTACGCTCGATCCTGGGAATGATCACTAAAAAAATATAAATAAGGAAGTTGTTGGGATTGCTGTTACATTAGCCAGGAAGTTATCTAATGCAGTGCACAGATGGTTGTTTAAAGTCAACCTAGTACATGTTTTGGCTAGGGGGAATTTACATGTCTTTCATGGAGGATCATACTATTTCATTATGGACAAGTATACAAAATTGTTTCTTCACTAAGTCCAGGACTAAACTAGGACTCTCAACATCACAGAATCTCCCATAGCACGTTCTTTTGAAAGATTCAATAGAATCAGTAAGCACTGATTCCTGATGGTTTGTAATGTCCTTCCTTCACATCAAAGTGGTTTAAAAAAACAATCCTGCAAGAGGTGGGCAAGATTTTAATTAAAACTATGTTTTTCCATCACATTCTTCCAGAAACTTTTGTTCAGTATAGCACTTTTACTCACAGAATTACAATCTGAGTTTGAAAAAGCCGTCATGAAAACAAATACTCAAATATAAATATAACACCATCAAAAGGGAAAAGATAAGACATTAAACAAAGCTTTAACACCCAACTGGGCAAGTTATGTGTCAGAATTGCCTTTTGAAAGGAGAAAGCTGTTATCAGCATGACCAAAGTTATTTGGAAGGCTGCAAAGAAAACTTTTTCTACACTCAAATTTGCAGAGTGATAAGCTGCAGATAAGGCCTGCACATTCAAATGTAAAAATTATTAAATCCAAGCTATCAACAACTCAGAAAGGAACCTGAAATAATTAAACCAGTCTGGATACTGCAGCAAAAGGCATCACAGCAATATTGTCCACAGGTGTACTTAAGAAATTGCAAGAAACAAATTTACAAACAAGAATGTGAAGGATAAGGATTTCAGATGAAAGAAAAATAGCAGAGTATTGACGTTAGTACTGTTCTGTTTCCTGTAACACAAACCTGAACAAGTTACCAAGATTTCTCTTTGGATGCCTACTCTGTGATCCCATCCAAAACCAACAAAAAAAGTCACCAGCTCTCCACTGGACACCACCATTACATTTTAAAAGCTATTATGCTAGCTATTAGAATATCTTAACACATAGAAACATCCTGTGTTTTGTTTCTGGTCAACAGGCTTGACCAAATACATCAAAGTCATGAGCAGAGACTCTAGAATGTGTTTGTGAAGTCTCGGTTCTATAGGTTCTCAATACAACTCCCTCATCACTTTCTCATGTTTGCACACTCATTTATCTCTGCGTACTCCAGTCCATTCCACTGGGCTTTTAATTTTTGTTCTTACTTGCACTATGCTTCACTGTAATGCTTTCTGAAAAGTTCTTGGACTGGTTAGAAATCCTAACAAGAAAGAAGTCAAAAGAAGAGTGGCTTCCATGACCCTGCTCCTCATCTTGCATGGAGACAGAAAAATACTATGCATCCCAGATGGAAAAATACTCACCATGTTCAATTGCATTCACACGTCTGTTTGTTATTTTAATGGCTTCATCCAAAGTAACAAAGGATGTCTGATGGAATGGGATTAAATAATTAATACATAACAAGACAAATTCAGCATTTCCATCAATTCTCTACACAAAACCAAAGAGCACTTGAAAGCCAAAGCCAAGTCTGTAATGTAGTTTTACAGACTACATTCTTGATAGAAGCAGAATTTTTTTCTACTAATGTCAGGAGCGTACTGAACACTGCACATTAGCAGTTACAAATACCAACTCCCCCAAAAGAAAGTTTCTCCTTAGCATTAAGGAATTCTTTGCAGCGGTAATGTAACTGTTTTATGGCTGGAAAAGGTTTACAACGTTGTACAACACTGGGACCAAAGGAGTATAGTGCAGCTCCAAGTAGTATAAGCTACAATCCCTGAGACTATGTTGCTTTTGTTTTGGAACAGTAAGAAACCAGTGATCCCCTTCTTTTTTTTCCTCCCACCAACCTGTAAGGAGGCCAGTTCCACAAGCAGCTCCACAGCTTTGGCATAGTTCCTCTTCAGCTTAGCCAGCTGTTCTCCACCTCTGGCCAAGCCAGTCAGCTCATAGCCTGAAAAAAAAAAAAAAAAAAAATCATCAAATAACACTTGTTGCTATTGCTACTATGGTGTTTTCTTACTAGATAAAAATTAGTCCTTTAGAAACTGCAGGGATATGGACAGCTCAGCAGTGACAAGCTAAAGCCTTTGCCTATTAACAAACTGTCTTTGTAGTGGTTTATGTTACTACAGATCATTGTTGTCCATGTCCCCAGTAAGACCTACCAGTCTCAAAACCTGGTAATTTAAGACAAGCCTTCTCCTCATCTGAAAAACTTGCTGATTTAGGAAATAAAATCCACTATAGTCCCTAATAATCCCTACATGTCACAGGAACAGCGAAAGCATCACAGAGGGAGTAAGAACACCTATGCCTATGATGTAAACTGACTTATCAGCAAGACAAGCTATGACATGACGTAAGAACTATTTTTGTATTGGCACAGAAGAGCCGTAAGTACATGTGAGAGAGAAAATACTTGGTTTGTACTTACTGTCCCCTCCTTCTTGGTAATGCTCAAAAACTGGCAAGGTTACACCTGACAAAAGTGAACAAGAATGTGTGTAAGAGACATAAGGGGTTATAGATTACGTACAAGTCACTTTTACCCCATTTGCTTCTAATAAATTCTGTAAGCTCAGAAGTTTTGTTTCCAAAATCTTCCTATATAGAACGATTAAATCATACAGGCTCTGACATCTTAATATGGGACTTTGGAACTGTATGGAGATCACAGAGATCTAGACACATGAAAAATTCAGGGAAGTATTCTGGTTTGTTCAGTGTTCAGTTTTATTATTTTTCTGTTTATATTTTAAGCATTCAATCCTGATTTATCTTTCTTGTTTTCTACAGAAAATTATTGATATTTAATTTCCTGTAACTTACTTAATTTCCTGATCTATTTTTCAGTAAAGCTCTATGAACTTATGCTTTGTCCCAAGATCTAGAAATTGGATGGCAGTTTATGCACACTCATTTAACTTTAAGAGAGGTAAATAATGAAATATAAAAAATATATTTTATATATATAATATAAATATAAAAATTACATG